GATTATTCTTCTGTACTTTGTCTGTGATTGGTCAATTTCTTACTATTACGGCCTACAACTCTCCATTGTAGACGGCCCTTAATGCGGACATAACAGATGCTAATTTGCTCGCAACTTTTTAGTATATCTGTTGCCAATCTGCTGGCATATTGCGCGCATTTTGCTTACTAGGTTGTTCTAAATTTGCTGAAAACTCAAGCGTTTTGTTTTCGGCAACATGACAGCAAAAACACAAACAGGTGGCTATCAGGGTACTTATGTTAAATACTTAATACTATATAAAGAGCCGTCTATAATGGAGAGTTGTAGGCCGTAATAGTAAGAAATTGACCAATCACAGACGAAGTACAGAAGAATAATCGATTGTGATTTGTCAATTTCTTACTGTTACGGCCTACAACTCTCCATTGTAGACGGCTCTTAATATTACTTTGTATTACTTATATTTATGTTATTTATGATTAGACTAAAAAATATTTAATTTAACTTGTAATATAACTTGCCATTGTAAGAGCAATAGAGTATGCCAAGACAGACAAAAGAAAAAAAAAGTCCAATTTTTAAAAAATTCATTAAGGGTCGTCTACAATGGAGAGTTTTAGACTGTAACAGTAAGAAATTGACAAATCACAATTGATTATTCTTCTGTACTTTGTCTGTGATTAGTCAATTTCTTACTATTACGGCCTACAACTCTCCATTGTAGACGGCTCTTTATAGTGCTAATTTATAAAAGTAACCTGTATCATTATGATAACTGTCGTGCATGTAACCTCAAAAGTTGTGTTCTTGCATTGCCCGATTTTATAGGTATCGTTACTGTCACTTTCATTGTGGACACGGTCGTAGGAATTAATAGCCGTCTACAATGGAGAGTTGTAGGCCGTAATAGTAAGAAATTGACCAATCACAGACATAGTACAGAAGAATAGTCGATTGTGATTTGTCAATTTCTTAGGCCTGGTTTATGCGAGCAATAACTGTTAACTTATGCCGGAACCGGTAAAGTTTAACTATATGATTTTAATACTTCTGTTTATACGAAATTGCCGAATGCGTATAAACAGAAGTATTGGAATCCTATAGTTAAACTCTACCGGTTCCGGCATAAGTTAACAGTTATTGCCCGCATAAACCAGGCCGTAATAGTAAGAAATTGACCAATCACAGACAAAGTACAGAAGAATAATCGATTGTGATTTGTCAATTTCTTACTATTACGGCCTACAACTCTCCATTGTAGACGGCTCTTTACGCTACTGCTTGCGTCTTATTTCTTTACTGCCTAATGCCAATCATATTGTAGACGGTCCTTTAAGAGCCGTCTACAATGGAGAGTTGTAGGCCGTAACAGTAAGAAATTGACAAATCACAATCGATTATTCTTCTGTACTTTGTCTGTGATTGGTCAATTTCTTACTATTACGGCCTACAACTCTCCATTGTAGACGACCCTTTAAAGAGCCGTTTGGTAGCCGTAATAGTAAGAAATTGACCAATCACAGGCAAAGTACAGAAGAATAATCGATTGTGATTTGTCAATTTCTTACTGTTACGGCCTACAACTCTCCATTGTAGACGACCCTTTACCGTCTCTCTTGATGTTGCGCAATTTATAGAAGTATATCAGTGACTAAATCTATTATTTATAACAAGATGAGTAATAATGTATCACTTGACTAACATACTTATCAGATATGATATCAAAGAGTATCCAAATGGTATCATGGTAAAATAGTATATGTAAGTATTTCTTGTAGAACATAACGAAAAGAACATCTTATTCAACTATAGTTTGGAAGTGAAATCAAAAAGCAAATATTATAATGTTTAATTATTGCAACATAATTATATTGTTATTTTTAAGTGTCTGTCAAAAATGTTGGTGCAATATATGCACAACTTGCACATGTTCAAGTAAGTCTAAGATTTGTTGAACAAGAAACTAATGAAGAAGAAACTAATAAATAGATAAGTGATTGAAAGTGTAACATTGTGAAAAAATATGTTCTCTGATACTGACTTTTAGAAAAATATTTTTACAGATACGGAATCACTTATCAACTGTCATGGCAAACACCTAAAAACCAATGAACTTCTGAACTACGAACTTCTCACTTTGGACCAGCATCAACTGCTGAACAAACTTATTCTTTCAAAAAACGACATAGCAGTTCTACCTACGAATGAGTTAAAAAACCTGAAACAATTAAAAATGTTGGATCTGTCTGAAAACCAACTGGAGAGTGTACATTCTGATGTTTTGAAATACTTAAGTGATCTCGAGGAGTTGGATTATTCACACAATTTAATACGAAATTTTGATCTTTCTGTCCTGAATACAGTTCTCTCCAAGTTTAATTTAAGTTACAATCAGATTAACAACCTGGAGAATAGTTTAGAAAGAACGAAGAAGTTTACAAGAACAAAGTTGAAAATTTTTGATGTATCTCACAACAATCTTTCTGATCTGGTTAGTGTATCGTATTAAATATTGTATTAATTTCTAACAGCAAAGTGTTGTTTTTACTTATATAGGGTTTTACTTATATTTGTAGTAACAAGGTATTTACATATACATATATTATATCATTACCATATATTTATGTATGTTAATGATATTTATATGTTATATATTTTAATTGTTAAATTTTGGAATATCATTTACAAATTATAGGATTATGTCTGGGAGAGATAGTTATTTGTAATTATGGGACTCTCTCTTTTAAATGAGTAGTTATAAAAGTTGAAGAATGGATTATTTATAATTATGTATAATTTATAATTTATTAATTTATAAAAACAAATGTTTAACTTATACGTAATAGGCTTTCTCAACATTGAAAGTAATTTTTCATGAAGCGTTCTGGATATCTTTTCTAAATGGTAACCCTAACATTCTAACATTGTATAAATTAACATTACTTTTAATACTTACTTTTAGAACTTCCTGAATACTTTGCCGGAGGTTCAATACTTGGATCTTTCTTTCAATAAACTCAGCGCTCTCTCCGATTCATTATTTCATTTGAAACATTTGGAAGTTCTTCACATCGATAACAATCAGCTTCTTTTTCTGAAGTTTCAACATCTTCCGCTATCACTGTTAGAACTAAACGTCGGAAACAATTTTATCAACACCTTATCTCTCTCATTCCAAAAATCATTTATATATACTTTAAATATTCAAAATAATCAAATTTTTGAAATACACAAAAACTTATCATCACTGACTAAATTAAAACATTTGAATATTAGCGGGAACTTACTATCAAATTTTCCTGATATTTCTTTGGAACAATTGGAAGTACTGGACTTATCCTTCAATAATATAACGATAATTCCTAAAACTGTTTCCATAAACAACTTTCCGAATCTACGAATTTTGAAAGTCAACGGAAATTGTTTGAAAGATATAACACTTCGATCTAAATTGGAATTAGAAAGTTTTGAAGCAAACTTTGTGGAGACGATTGAAAAAATTGATGAAAACGCATTTTTAATGTTGAAAGAGAAGAACGATTGTATAAATGTGACTATTTCGAATAACGTAAAATTGAGCAGCATCGCGGAAAACGTTTTTCATCATATGAATATTTGTTCTGTAAGTATTTCAAATTTTTAATAAAAACCGTAATTAAAAATTGGTATGATTTAATGTAGCAAAATTTATAAATAATTCTGCTTCTTTATATCTTAGTTAGATTTGAGTAACAATCACTTTACATATTTATCGTTCGAGCTATTTAAAACACATGTTTATGGCAAAAACTTTTCGAACGCAAGATATCTCATTAATCTACAAAAGAATCCATTTATTTGCGATTGTTCGCTGCAATGGATGTTAGACGAGTTAGTCCCAAAACTTTACACGATACAGCCAAGTCTTTTGGAAGATTTAAAGTAAATTAGTGCTACTACTTATTAACACTTATTTAATATATTTTCTTGTCTTGTGAATTATATACTAATCTGTTTTTTATTTCTTGATGTATTATTATATGTAGGTGTGCTGGTCCATCTCCGTTGATGAACAAAAGATTAATTCATTGGTATAAGTGGAAAGAAAAAGTATTTTGCGATGATTTCTCGCATTATGCGGAAAAAATGGCTGTCAATGTTACTGCCGTTTCTAACAAACAAATTGTAACGTTTGAATCGAGTCACGCGATGATTGCTGTTTTGGCTGCAGCAACTGCTCTACTCGCAGTTTTAACGATGGTTGGCGTTTTGTTGACTCGAAGAATTGCTGAAAAGCGAAGGCGAGCCAATCGTAGGTTTTAAGAACAACGAAGTTTAATACATTATTATTTGTCTTGTACGGAGTAAGATAAGCGATGTAATAACAACAATGTAAAGTTGTTAATAAAAATATTTTTTGTTTTTTTTCAAATATTATTTTTTCAGGTTTACTTTTTAATCTTTCAATCGTGTAATATAACTGCCCAGCAAACAATTTGGTTGTGGGGTGTCGCGGTTTTGTCGCTAATCGCCGGCGAAATTTATAGATTTGTAAAACAGTTTATCTTGTTGGGGCAATCCTGCGGCTTAGCAGTGTCGTGAATATATATACATATATATATCAGCAAAATATTAGAGTCCCTGTAGTATGAGTCTGGACACAGTTGTCTTCTTATTGGTTGTGACAAAATATGGCGGAACCAATAAAATATCTTAAATTTATACTTCACGCGCGATATTATTCAATAGGGAGTTGAGTAGAATAAAAAAATTATTAGGAATAGAAATTAAAAAGAGGTTAAATGTAATGCACAATGCAAAAAAATAAAATATAACATAAATGTATATAAATATAGGCTGTATATCATGCAACCATAACATATTTCCTGTATTTATGTTATATTTTATTTTTTGTCATTGTATAGTACATTTAACTTTTATTTCTAATTCTTATTCCTAATATTTTCTCTATTGTGCTCAGGCTATAAGAATAGAATATAAGACAACCCTTAAAAAAAAGAACTACTGCCGATTACATATAAATAAAGTCAGTAATATAAATATTACTGACAATTACATAAACATATTATTAGGTATTACAGGAATCACTGAGAATATTACTGGCAATTACACAGAATGTCAGTAATTTTTTTGTACCACTGCCGCAATAAATTATTGCCAGTAGTTCTTTTTCGTAAGGGAATATAAGAAGATAAATTTGTTATTACGTTTTATTTCATATAAAATTTTATTTCATATAAAAATACAATGAAATACAAGTATATGCACACAATAAACACAAAAATACAAATATTATTAATAGTAAAATAATATTT